AAAAATATTTTAGCAAATTTGAAAAATATTTGCTAAAAATATTTTAGCAAATTTGAAAAATATTTGCTAAAAATATTTTAGCAAATTTGAAAAATTTGAAAAATACAATTAATTGTGAAGCTGACTCAGAGGCTGCTTTTTTAAAATATCCAGACCTTCAAATTATTAAAAATGTGAAAATAGAGAAAATTATTTTTAAAATATTTATATTATTGAGACCTCCCACTACATCAGATTTAGTTCAAGATTTCTAAGACAATGGAACCCTCAGTGGAATGAAGACCAAAATGGGTACTAGAAATAAAGGTGGACATTGTTTTTTTCCATCTAACTTTTGCCAGATGGTCTTATATGTCTTTTGTGTAATAACTTTGTAATAACAAAAACCTATGAGATATATACTTACATCATTCCAGTGACATGGAGATATTACTGAGATAAGAGAGGTTCAATAATGTGCTCAGTCAGTGGAATTTATTGAATCCAGAGCTTGATGTCTCCTCTGCCATGGAGAGAAGACAGAGCTCTAAGCACCATGAGAAATGAAGGCAGATGGAGAATTTTAAGTTCTGCTCCGTCCTTTTGCATGTAATTCAGTTTTCATATTTGTAAGATTAAATCAAGGGGTAAAAAGTACTTTACCCTGGAACATCTGCAGAACAACTACCTGGCACTATCATGAAAATTTAAAAGTAACTTTTTTTTTTTTTTTTTTTTTTTTTTTTAAGAGGCAGGGTCTTACTCTCACCCAGGCTGGAGTGCAGTGGCGTAATCATAGTTCACTGCAGCCTTGAGCTCCCTGGCTCAAGCAGTCTCCCACCTCAGCGCCCTGAGTAGCTGGGACTGCAAATGTGTACCACCATGCCTAGCTAATTTTTTTATTTTTTGTAGAGATGGGGTCTCACTGTGTTGCCAGGCTGGTCTCAAGTGATCCTCCTGTTTTGGCCTTCTAAAGCACTAGGATTACGTCCTGAGCCACCATGCCCAGCCGAGAACTTTTTTAAATTCCAAGTTTTATTCTTGTTTGTCGATCCCAAGGTAGGTCAACATTTGAGGCGATGGCACTTTTACTTCTTTGGCTTTGGTAGCTTCTAAGCCTTCTGTTTTTTTAAATATGAACGGCAGTGGTCTTTTCTACTTAGGCAATTTAAGTTGTCATCTTTTGATGAATGTATTTAAAGCTAAAAGCTTTTTCCTTCTGTGGAGAAAAAACTATGATTAAATCAAATGATTCATACAGGACACTGTCACAAAACCACTCAACAATGAGTTGACTGATTTTAATGCATGTTCCTAATGTTTAAAATTAACGTTTATAATTCTCTGATATTTATTTATTGTAGGATGTAATTAAAACCATTGTGCAGAGTGGTGGCATCAAGCATTTAGTTACCATGGCAACTAGTGAACATGTAATAATGCAGAATGAAGCCCTTGTTGCTTTGGCATTAATAGCAGCTTTAGAATTGGGTAAGTACCCCAGTGACAAACTTATTTTCTTCTATTTTTATCTTGGATGAAAGGAAGCATAGAAGTGGAGTTGAAGTCAGACAGAACCTTGACTGGAAGCATTTTACTAGTGTCTATACCATTCTCTGAATCTATGGAAATCATTCCGTATAGGTTGTTACAGCTGTCCCCTTTGGCTGTGTTTTTGGTAACATTTTTAGGGCAATGCGTTAAGATAAGTTTAACTTTTAAATAATGTCTCAAGTTACAGCCGCTTAGAGAATAGAGAAAACATTTTCAGCAGGCTTCACAGAGAAACCAAACAATATTTAGAATACGACAGCATATGAAGAGTCTGCTACTCTCCCCGTGACCCAGGCTTTCTCTTCCATCTCTGCTCATTCTCTCTACTACCAATTCTTTCTTGCTGTTCTTCTTCATCACCGTGACTTCTGTTGCTTGGTAGCATTGCCTTACTCTAATGTCTTATCTTCTGTGTTACTCTTCTGTGTGTTTTGCATTCAGAACTCCCCCAAAGCAGAGGCTAAATAATTTCATTAGTTTCAGTTTAACATAGCATTTTTTGTTTGTTTGTTTGTTTGTTTGGGACAATCTTGCTTTGTCACCCAGGCTGGAGTGCAGTGACGCAATCTCAGCTCACTGCAACCTCCGTGTCCTGGGTTCAAGCAATTCTCGTGCCTCAGCCTCCCGAGTAGCTGGGATTACAGGCATGCACCACTGCGCCTGGCTAATTTTTGTATGTTTCATAGAGACGGGGTTTCACCATGTTGGCCAGGCTGGTCTTAAACTCCTGACCTGAGGTAATTCACCCACTTCAGCCTCCCAGAGTACTGGGATTACAGGCGTGATCCACCATGCCCGGCCCTAACATAGCATTTCTAATGGGCAGAATTCATCATGAGAAGCTAATTCATAGGCATCTGGTTTATGAATAGCATCAACTAGATGGCTTAGGAGCCAACCCAAGACAGTCAGCCAGGGATGGTATAATAGAGTCACATGGCCTGTGGTTAAAGCCTAAGGCTGCTTTACACAAAGAGGACTTTACACTTAGTAGGGATGTCCTATCCAATTCAAAGCCATTTGGATAAATACTGTTAACTGATAGCCTCTTAATTCCCACTGATGACTTATATCCATAATTCTCACACTGGGGCGAATGGACCCTCCAACCCCAGTTCCAGGAAGAGGAAACACTCATGTATTTTTTTATGTGCATAGAGTGTGTAATGATCAAGTCAAGGTGTATAGGATATCCTTCTCCTTGAATGGTCTATTGTTGACTGGAAGCCTTACCAATAACAGTCAGTGAACACATATTTTGTATATTATATACTATATTCTTATAATAAATCTAGAGAAAAGAAAATGTTAAGAAAATCATAGGGAAGAGAAAATATATTTACTGTTTATTAAATAGAAGTGGATTATCAAGAAGGTCTTGATCCTTGTCTTCACATTGAGTAGGCTGAGGAAGGGGAAGAACAGAAGAAGGGGCTTAGTCTTGCTCTCTCAGGGATGGCAGAAGAGAAGAAAATCCAGGTATAAGTGAACCCACACAGTTCAAACCTATGTTGTTCAAGGGTCAACTGTATATTCTTTGGTGAAATGCCGATTTTTGTCTTTTACCCTGTTTTGGTTTTTTTTGTTTTGTTTTGTTTTGACTATTGAGTTTTGAGAGTTCTTTATATATTCTAAAAGTTTATAGTTCTATATTTTACATTTAAGTCTGTAATCCATTTTGAGTTAATATCGGTGTAAGGTATGAGGTTTAGGTTAGGGTTCATTTTCTTTGTCCCATGGATGTCTAATTGTACTAGCACCTTTTGTTGAAAAGCTTTCTTTCCTCCACTGAACTGATTTTGTACCATTATCAAAAGTCAGTTGAGTGTATATATGTGAGTCTATTTCTGGGTCTTCTACTATTCAGTGCCTTCGACGTAAGTGTCTATGTTGCCACCAATAATATGCTATCTTGATTACTGTAGCTATAGAGTAAGCCTTAATACTGGATAGAGGACTTTCTCACACTTTATTCTTCTTTATCAAGATTGTTTTAGCTATTTTAGGGCCTGTGGCTTTCCATATAAGTTTTAGTGTAAGGTTGTCTATTTTCTATAGAAAATCTTGCTAGGATTTTGATTGACATTGCATTGAGTCCTTATCTTTTACTTGTGGAGGAAATTATGTGATTTATAGGATTCGCTCCAAAATAATTTGAGATGGTTGAAAGTAGGTGAATGAGACAGATTGGCCATAATTCTTTAAGGTGATAAGTGCATAATGTATATTATTATACCATCTTTTCTGATTTTGCATGTGTTTAACATTTTCCATAATAAAAAGTTTAATTGTCTCATATTAAAAGAAATGTGTTAGTATTAAATATTAAGCTCAAACACCTGAAATGTCTACTGAAATCTAGTTCTGTTTATTCTTTTCACGTGGTCTGAATTTAATATTATTTTTCTGGGTCATTATTATTTATCAGTTCCATTTGGAAGGTTTCATATGGTCAATTTCTGGAAAAGGAAGCAGCGTTTATCCTGAGGGTACTGGGTTCATACACAGTAGATATAACTTACACTTTGTTTTATTTTGTAGGCACTGCTGAGAAAGATCTAGAAAGTGCTAAACTTGTACAGATTTTACATAGACTGCTAGCAGATGAGAGAAGTGCTCCTGAAATCAAATATAATTCCATGGTCCTGATATGTGCTCTTATGGGATCTGGTAAGTATTCTTCTGTCATCTGATGTCCATAAACATATGGTTCACATTAAATATTAAACATGGAGTAATAGTAGATGATGGCTTTGGGTTTTAAAGCCATTAGAAATTAGTTTATGGAGGTTATAAGATTTCTTTTTTCCCCTGTTACTGTAACCACTCATTTCTTTATGGTGATAACATTGAAAATCTCTTCTAGCTGTCTTGAAATATACACTACATTGGTATTTTCTAGCCATCCAACTGTATAATAGATAGAATTACTTTTCACTTAAGATATTCCCAAAAGATTCTTACTACAATAGAAAGTATCATATAGTGAATCTAGATAACATTCAGTATTGCAAAATCAGTAAGTCTCATGAACCCTAAAATGTTATTTTATAGCAAGCACAGGTTCTGATTTTGTATGCCATAATATTAACTAAGGAATTTGTTTAGGAGGCCAGGCACAGTGGCTTATGCCTGTAATCCCAGCACTTTGGGAAGCTGAGGTGGTGGATCACTTGAGGCCAGGAGTTTGAGACCAGCCTGGCCAACATGGTGAAACCCTGTCTCTACTAAAAATACAAAAATTAGCCGGGAGTGGTGGCACACGCCTGTAGTCCCAGCTACTCAGGAGGCTGAGGCAAGAGAATCGCTTGAACCCAGGAGGCAGAGGTTGCAGCCGAGAGATTCTGCCACTACTCCAGCCTAGGCAACAGAGCAAGACTCGGTGTCAAAAAAAAAAAAAAATTGTTCAAGAAATCATTGGTATATCTTCTATGGACATTGGCATATCTTAGTATATGTTCTGTGGACACTTGAAAAGAGTGTGTATTGTGCAGTTATTGGGTACTGTTGTATAAATGTGAATTTGATTCTGTTGGTACTAGTGTCAAGTTTCCTGTATTCTTGCTAGTTTTCCAGTTAATTGTTCTGTCAATTGTCGAGAGAAGGGTGTTGAAGTTTCCCGCTATAATTGTAGATTTGCCTATTTCTCCTTTCTGTTCTGTCCATTTTTGCTTAACATAATTTTCAGCTCTGTTGTTAGGTACCTACACCTTTAGGATTGCTGTGCTTTCTTGAGGGATTGACCATTTTATCATTATATAATGTACCTCTCTCTGGTATTTTGCTTTGCTCTCATCAACTTTATCTGACTTTAACATAGCTACTTCTGCTTTTTATTATTATTACTATTTTATTTTCTTTCATGTGCCACTACAGGAAGCCATCCTATTTTCTTTTGAATAACATTCACATGATCTTTTCCCACTCTTTTAGTTTCAGTCTGCTGTATTGTATTTGAAGTGAGTTTCTTGTATGCAGCCCAAAGTTGTATCATTTTCTAATCTACTCTACCAGTCCCTTTTGTGTATTTAGACCATTTACATTTAATGGGATGACTGATATGGCTCAAGTGTGCAATCTTATTTTTGTTTTCTGTTTGTCCCATTTCTTCTTTCTTTTCTTTTTTTTTTTTGAGACAGAGTCTCACTCTGTTGCCCAGGCCGGAGTACGATGATCTCGGCTCACTGTTCTTTATTTCTGACTTCCTATGGGTTAAACATTTTTTAGTCATTTACATTTATTCTTCCTCATACATATATATATATATATATGTATATATATGTGTGTATATATATATATATATTTTTTTTTTTTTTTGGTGACAGAATCTTGCTCTGTTGCCTAGGCTGGAGTGCAGTGGCGTGATCTTGGCACACTGCAACTTCCGCCTCCAGGGTTCAAGTGATTCTCATGCCTCAGTCTCCCGAGTAGCTGGGATTACAGATGCCTGCCACATCACACCTGGCTCATTTTTGTATTTTTAGTAGAGGCGGGCACTCTGTTGCCCAGGCTGGTCTTGAACTCCTGACCTCAGGTGATCTACCTGCCTTGGCCTCCCAAAGTGCTGGGATTACAGGTGTGAGCCACCACGCCAAGCCTCTCATATATATCATTCTTAAATATTTCTTCCACATATATTAGAATCACATTAGACAGTGTTACAACTTTTCTTTCAACCACCAAACATATTTCAGAAAACTCTTTGAAAGAGAAGGGAAGCCTATTGTATTTACTCACATTTTTAGATTTCTTATTTTTGTTATATCATTCCCTTTCTGTTTAGAGAACTTCCTTTAGCCATACTGCTAGCAACAAATTTTTAGCAAAAAAAAATTTTTTTCTTTCGTAATGAAAGGGAAATGACATTCTCAAATGAGAGAAAATGGGTATAGGATTCTGGATTCACAGTTCTTTTCTTTCTTTACTTGAAAACTATTGTGCCACTTTTTTCTAGCCTCCCTGGTTTCTGATGAGAAATCCGCTGTGTTCCTATGTGTGTTTTTTTCCCCTGTAGGAAACGTGTCATTTTTGTCTCTCAGGACTTACTTTGCGTTTAGTATTCAGAAGTTTGACTATGATGTGTCTTGGCGTGAATTTCTTTGGGTTTATCCTGTTTGAGTTTGCTCAGCTTCTTAAATTGATAGGTTTATGTCTTTTGCTAAATTGGGAAGTTTTGACTGTTACTTCTTCAGGTACTTTTCAGCCCCATTCTGTCCACTCTTTCCAGACCTCTGATGACACTGATGTGAGATCTTTAATTATAGTCTTGTAGGCCCCTGAGGTTTTGTTCTTTTTTACCCCCAGATTATTTTCTTTCTGTTGTACAGACTGAGGAATTTCTATTGTTTTATCTTGGAAGTTCTCTGATTACTTTCCTTGTCCCCTCTATTCTGATGTTGAACCTATTTTTATTTCAGTTATATATTTTAGTTCAAAAATTTCCATTTGCTGCTTCTTTATATCTTCTATTTCCTTGCAGAGACTTTGAGTCTTTTCCATTTGTTTAGGCATTTTTAGAATTGTGGTAAAATATACAAAACATAAAATTTACTGTTTTAACCTTTTTTAAGTATATAGTTTAATGGCGTTAAGAACGTTGCTGTGCAATGACCACCAGCATCCATCTCCAGAACCACCTTCATTTTCCCAAACCGAAACTCTGTACTCATTGACCAATAACTCCCCATTTACCCCTCCCCACAGCCTCTGGCAATCACCATTTATTTTGTGTCTCCATCATTTGACAACTCTAGGCACCACATATATGTGGAATAATCAACTTTTGTCCTTTTTTGTCTAGCTTATTTCACTTAGGTCTTTAAGGCTGATCTGCATTGTAGCACATGTCAGAATTTCATTTCCTTTTAAAGCTGAATAATTTTCCATCATATGTATATATCACATTTTGTTTATCCATTCATCAATTCATGGACATTTGGGCCATTTCCACCTTTTGGTTTTTGTGAATAATGCTGCTGTGAACATTGGTATACAAATATCTCTGAGTCTCTGCTTTTAATTATTTTTGGTATATACTCAGAAGTGGAATTGCTAGATCATATGATCATTCAATGTTTAATTTTTTGATTAAATACTGTTTTTATTAAATAGTCTCATACTCTTTTTCACAGTGGCTGGACCATTGTACATTTCTACCAGCAGTACACATGGATTATAATTTCTCAACATCCTCATCAATATTTGCTGTGTTTTAGTAATGGCCAAACTTATGAGTGTGAGGTGGCATCTTACTGTGGTTTTTATTTGCATTTCCCTAATGATTACTGATGGGAATCTTTTCATGTGTTTGTGGGCCATTTGTATATCTTCTTTGGAGAAATGTCTATTCAAGTCTTTGCCCATTTTTAGAATTGAAGGGTTTGTTGTTGTTGTTGTTGTTGTTGTTATTGTTGAGTTGTAAGAGTTTTGGTTTTTTGAGATGGAGGTTCGCTCTTGTTGCCCAGGTGGGAGTGCAATGGCGTGATCTCGGCTCACTGTAACCTCTGCCTCTCAGGTTCAAGCGATTCTCCTGCCTCAGCCTCCTGAGTAGCTGGGACTACAGGCATGCACCACCATGCCCAGCTAATTTTGTATTTTTAGTAGAAACGGGGTTTCTGCATGTTGGTCAGGCTGGTCTCAAACTCCTGACCTCAGGTGATCCACCCACCTTGGCCTCCCAAAGTGCTGGGATAACAGGCATGAGCCACCATGCCTGGCCCAAGTTGTAGGAGTTTATACCAGTACCCCACTATTTTGATTATTATAGCTTTGTAGTAAGTTTTGAAATCAGTTAGTATGAGAACTCCAGCTTTGTTCATTTTCAAGATTGTTTTGGAGATTTAGGAGCAAGGTCCCATCTTTAAACTTTTTTCTTTTAATTTAAAAAAAAAAAGAAGTTTTAATTATTTTTTTTATTATAATACCTTCCTAAGAAAGACATTGCTAGGCTACTGCTATGTCTTTTTCCAGAGTTGTTTCTAGTTTTATAGCTTAGTCTTGCCAAAATAAACATTTTGGGTATATGTTTTGGATAGATTGTATAATAATATTAGAACAACCTAACAGAATCATATCTGTTTTTTGTTTTGTTTTTTGTTTTTTTTTTTTTTTTGTCTTCCAGAATCTCTACACAAGGAAGTACAGGATTTGGCTTTTCTAGATGTCGTATCCAAACTTCGCAGTCATGAGAACAAAAGTGTTGCCCAGCAGGCCTCTCTCACAGAGCAGAGACTTACTGTGGAAAGCTGAGAACTGCCCGATACACGGCATCATCCCACCTCTAATTTCCCCTCTGTCCTCCATCCAGCGGCTTCTTCCGCTTCATTCTCTACCATACCACTTGTGCATGCATGTAATGGTCTAATACCAGTTGAAGAACTGCTGTAGGTACCTCCCTAATAAGATTTCTAAACCCATAGTTAGTGTGATCATGACTTTGTCAAAGGCAAGTCTCCACCCATAACTGTTCTCTTGTATCCCTGTTGCTTGAGCTACATTAAGTAGAATGTGCATGTTGTAGTCCTATGATGATGTAAACTTGGTACTACATAATGACTTGCTCCACACATGCAGTAAACTACATAATGATGTACTGGTAAACTAGAAACAAAGAATGCAGCAGGATCTGTCCAGCATATTAAAGATGAAACTGAATTGGAAAAATAGCTCCATTTTTTGGTGCTTGGGAAGCACAGTGACCAAAAAAGCTGTATGGCTGCTTATTCATTAGTCTTTCCTACTAATGTCAAACCCATGGTACCTAGAGTTAAATAAAATTCCAATGCCCTTACTCTTTAACCTATTGTTTCTCCTTTTTCCTTTGTAGACTATTGAAACTGCCACAAACTTGGCAAGACTTTCTGAGGTTTCTGATTCCATATTTAATTGACTATTATCAATAGCCTGATATTGAAAAACATTTGTAGTTTTCAGTGTGAAACTAAGGGGTTGAAGAATCACTATTGGGTTTTGCCTGTATTTTAGATTCCGATACATCTGCTGTTTCACTCAGGAACTACTTCTACCAGTTAATCAGCATTATCCAGCACTTGTCTTTAAAAGTCATTTGGCACTTGTTTGTTTTCAACAGAGACAATTGAGTATAGTTTATTGAAGAATGGATTTTTTTTGCTGTTTTTCATCATTCAGCTAGAAAGTGAGAAGTTTTATCTTCCATGGTCCTTTTAAATCTTGTTAGAACTAGCAGGACGTAGGTGGAAAGATGAAGAAATAAGTTTGTCTAGACTAAAGAAAGGAAAGCAGGTTATAAAAGCCATAGTAGCCAGTCCAGTTTATTCTGCAGATGGCCTCATACCAATCGCTGTTAGTTTCCCACCTCCACTTTCCCACTGAGAACTGCAGCAATTTTAAAGGATATGAAAAAGCCAAGACTCAAGAGATGAGAAGACCCCGTTGGCGAAATATAGTGTACTCTTCACTGCCACTGCCACCACCAAATGGGTTTTTAGAGCTTTGAAACACAATCTTTGTAAATTAATGAAAACCTCCCTGTGACCCACCTGCCTTCTCCCCATACCCAAATTTGACCACTACTGGCCTAAAGGCAAGATGGGCTTCGATATAGAAGGACTGCAGGACAGTAGAAAGGGCTGCCACGGAGGTGACAAGAGCTCCTTCCTCTCCAACATGTGATACTACACATCTCTGTGGGTGATCTAAGTTGGACTTTTGACTCTAAAACAGCTATAATCCAAGAAAGGTAAAATTCTAATGGAGGTAAAGAATCCTGACTGATTGTTCCCTTTGATGTCCAAATAAGGGACTGTCGTGAGTACTTATGCTACACTTACTATAAGAATGATATTATTTGTCTTTCTCCTGGGCTGGATAGCGGACTATATTTTATTATAGGCTTTGAGAGACATCTGTCATGTTGCATAACTGTTCATATTAATAACTTAATAAATAGTATATGAAGCTATAATGGCATCATTTGGTTTTTTTCGTATATTTTATCTATATTTCCAACTCTTAGAATAGGGCTTGCTATTGATGTTCAACAAATATTTGTTGACTGAATGAATGAATCCTGCGTCCATGAAGTTTCCAGACTGCCTGAACTAATTCCAGAAAGATAGACTGACTGACTGATAGAGAGTTTGAGATTTGATAGTTTGTCTGACTTTAGGGAAAAAATTTTAACAAAAGCATCCTAAAATCATAGACGTGAGAGAAGTTACCATCTAGGCCAGCTACCAGCCATCAATTTGCTAATATGCTAGGAACTCCCATCTCCAACAAAATAAAGTGCAATTCAGAGTACTCATCATTGTATAGAAAGACCAGAAGGCTGCGATGGGGGCTACCAAATTATATGGTACACTGATGTGCCATTGCAGTGGATGGGAGAGTCTATAGACTGTACTCTCCCTTATCTCCTACTAAATCTTAGTCCTGGAGACCACTATTAAGTTAGTTTGCTACCCACTAAGAGTACATTCCAAGGGAGACGACGGGAGGAAAGAATAGCACAACAAAGCTCTAACTGTCCATCTTGAGCCAGTACTAGAACATAGATGAAAAGCGCAGGAATTCAAGCAAAGAAGATGCCTGAGTGCAATGCACTAGAATACCCCTTTTCCCCCAGCCCTGTTAGCAACTTGGAGTCATGTCAACCCACCCGACTAGACTGTAACCTCATTGTGCTCAAAGCAAACACTAGCCCATAATCCAGTGTTTTCCTTGATTAAAAAAAACATGTTTTGAGCCTACTGTCTGATAAGAATGGAGACACAGAAGAAAACTTTTTCATCTAAAATGATTTATTGAATGGAATAGAATGCAGTTCTCATATGCAAGCATTAGTCTGAAGGGTTCTGAAAAATGCTACATGTGAAGAATTCAAAAAGAAATGCTCTTTGGTATAATTAGGAGGCTTATTATCTAATTCTCTTGAACATACTGGGTGAGGATATCTAGATATTAAGACATTTACTTAGGTGAGCATTACCCTTTGTATCCAGCTGTTACTGGAATCAGTAAGCTTAAAAGCCAGTTAACATTAGGACACTATAACATTTATATTATACAAGTGTCTATTAAAAAGCATGTAATAATATTTGGGATGAATCTATAGCTGTAGCCAGGAAAACTGAGGTCTTTTTTCACAGGTGTGATCTCTAACTTTGCCTACATACGTACATACATATAAATAATATGCCATGTAACTTCGCTCTGTTGTCCAGGCTGGAGTGCAGTGGCACAATCTCGGCTCACTGCAACCTCTGATTTCCAGGTTCAAGCGATTCTCCTGTCCCAGTCTACCAAGTAGCTGGGATTACAGGCGTGCGCCCTGACGCCTGGTTAACTTTTGTATTTTTAGTGGAGACAGGGTTTCACCACGTTGACCAGGCTGGTCTTGAACTCCTGACCTCAAGTGATCCACCTGCCTCGGCCTCCCAAAGTGTTGGGATTATAGGCGTATGTTTTATAGGTGTGTCCGACTCAAGTGTTACGTACTTTAAAAGGGTGATACAGTGCGAAGAGTACTGTCTTATCTATAGTCATATCCTGGGTCTGTTACATACCAGCTGTGTGACCATAGCCAAGTAAACTTAAACTCTTTGGGCCTGATTCTCAATAGGACAAGTTTAATAATCCCTACTTCCCTTAGGATTTTCATGACAATTGAAACTTTTAGACATTCAAGACAAGGTGAGATGGAATTGTGATATCTTAGGGCCTAACCTGTATACTCCTCTCTCACTGCTGCAGGATTCCCAACTAAAAGGATTCAAAAAACAACCCTCAAACAGAAAATAGTATACCTATTAATAGTTTGTAATGTAGAAACAAAACGACTCACGCCTGTAATCCCATCTACTTGGGAGTCTGGGACAGGAGAATCGCTTGAACCTGGAAAGTGGAGGTTGCAGTGGGCCGAGATTGTGCCACTGCACTCCAGCCTGGATGACAGAGGGAGACTCCGTCCCAAAATAAAAATTAAAAAAAACTTTTAATGAAATTGAGCTTTTTAGCTGTAGCCACAGAGATTCTGTCTAACACTTTGAAAATGGACAATACACATCTGTCTCCTATTTATAACACTGAACAGGAACTTAATATGATGACAATTCATTTTTATATATTGGAACCAAAGTATCAAATCAAACTTAAGCCAGGTAGGTACTGCTGCCTGCGGTTCTTCTGACCTTTGCTCTCTTGATCTGGTGGTCTTCTCTGGTCTACCAGCAGGAAGCCCAGAGAAGGTCAGCACCTCTGACCTTGACCTCCCTTCAGGGAGGTTCTGCTCAGCATGTTGGTGCTTAGTTCCTTTATGTCTAGCATAGGCACATCAGACAGATGCCTAAAACACTTAGAACTTAGGAAGGAAGGGATGATTGAATACAATTATAAGATGATATGAGAAAATATTAACCAGAGGAGCTTTGACTTCAGACTCATCTTTGGAGGAACCCAAAATAGTTCCTAATTTCAGTTAAAGCCAACTATCGGTAGACAGTTCCGTTGCCCCACCCTCCCTTTTCTCAAGTTTCCAGAATGCAACCCACTCTCCACCATGCTTCTCCTACCATGACTTCCTTTTTTGTGTAGGTAAGAAAAGTAGAAGACGTGTTAATGAATCATATTCTGCTCTTTTCACCCACACAGCCTCATCCCCTAGTACCCAGCAGAAGTTAGAGGAAGTAACACAGCAGAGTGTCCATGTAGATACATCATATCCCAAAGTAATAACTATTAAGTCCTCTGCTTCCCACTTGCCTATTTCTTGTCCTCTTGTTACCCTATCACGATTGTGAAACGCAGCGACTTCCCCTAAGCCACAAGTGAGAACAAGATGTTCACTGACCTGAGAAAACCATCTGACAAAAATTCATTTCCTGTTAATAAGAAAACAGCTTGGCATTTGTGTTATAATATGATCTGACAGTTAGTTCATAGAAAGCATGCTTTGTTGTACCTGTGCCTAACGTCTGACGCAAAGCTTCAGAATGATGTTCTGGCATGCTTTCCCACAGCATTTGGCCAGTGTGTATTTTACATGGTTGAAGCATTGTGCCATGTGTAGCTATATCCTTTTTTCCCCCGACTTAAGAATTTCTCACGTTACTAAGAACTCAAGTTTTTATAAACCTCTTTTTTAATGGCTGCATATATTTTGTTCTTTGTTGTGTTCTTTGTGGTTTTGAGACGGGGTCTTGCCCAGGCTGGAGTGTAGTGGTGCAATCTTGGCTGACCACAGCCACAACCTTCTGGGCTCAACTGATACACCTCAGCCTCCCTAGTAACTGGGACCACAGGCATCACCACTATGCCAGGCTGCTTTTTTTTGTTTTTATTTTTTTAATGTTGCAGAGATGAAGTCTCGCTTTGTTGCCCGGGCTAGCCTTGAATTCCCAGACTCAAGCGATCCTCCCAAAGTGCTAGAATTATAGGCATGAGTCACCATAATCCCATATTCTTTAATTATATGGCTGTACCAGAATCTTACTTAACCTTTTCCTGCATCTAGACATTCAAGATATATTCTAGTTTTAAAAAAACAAACCCCAAATGCTAGGTTGTGTGTGTTTTCAGGTGCTAGGGTAGTTCCTCAACTAAAACCTATCTGACTTGCCAGTCCGTCTATTTTCTGCCCCTAATTGTTAAATCGAAGGCCCCAGTCCTTTCTTCCTCAGGGATCCTGATCAATTCCTCAGTGTGGCAGAGCTGCACTGCCCTGCCCAGCCTCTGTGCAACCCTTCCTGATGCACCCTTACTTTTCGTCACCTCTTTAACACTCTACTCCAGCCAAGCCCTCCCCACTCTCCCAAGGGAACCCACAACAGCACCTCCTGGTGGGCAACCAAGCGTTACATCACTTATATCCACTCAACATCTACCACCCGCCCGTTACCAAATGTATCAGAGTGGGTCCAGAGTGTATCAGAAGAGGTATAGAGCACACCTACAAGTACCTATGGAACTGATGTTTAGCTAATTGGAGTCTAATTGCCTCTTAGCACTGCCATCAACTGCTAGCAACATATTTGCACCTCTAACCAAACCTGTGAACCACCACTGATTTCTTCCAAGCTGATAAACACTCTCCAGGCAGCACTCACATGGAGAGGGGAGGGAAGGAGTGGAGAGCCTTTTCTTCCAAAAGAGTCATCATGAAACACTCTTCATGCTCTTCATGATTCTATCACCTGGCCAACCCGTTTCTTCCTCTATAGACTAGGGATGGCAAACTAGGGGCCCTCGCATGTGTTTTGTTTGGGCCACATGGTTATTTTTGGGTTTTTTTGAGACGGAGTCTTGTTCTGTCACCCTGGCTGGAGTGCAGTGGTGCCATCTCAGCTCACTGCAAGCTCTGCCTCCCGGGTTCACACCATTCTCCTGCCTCAGCCTCCCAAGTACCTGGAACTATGGGTACCTGCCACCACGCCCAGCTAATTTTTTGTATTTTTAGTAGAGACGAGCTTTCACCATGTTAGCCAGGATGGTCTTGATCTCCTGACCTCGTGATCCGCCCACCTCAGCCTCCCAAAGTGCTGGGATTACAGGCGTGAGCCACCACACCCAGCTTGGTATTTTTTTTTTTACAAAAAGGAAGAAGAAAAGGAGAAAAGATGAATAGCTTTAAACATTTATAATTTAAGTGATTTTGAATAAAAATCCATTTCTCTGGCTTTTCTTTTAAAATGAGGAGATCTGGCAACCAGGGACTCTACATTTCAGGAGAAGAGCATGTGGCTGGGGCCTCCTTGGGACAGAATACGTCTCTCTACCGGATTAGATCCCCACCTGGTCATTCAGCTAAACTGCATAGCCCCTGGAAGCCTATGCATCTGTGACCCTGTGGATAGAGGCTGTCTGCTTCCAGAGCAGGAGAAAGGGAAATGGATTTTTAGGGACAGAGAACAGCACTATGGGAAAGGCCATGTTTAAAGGAGGTCCAAATATTTGACTGACGGTCATTTCTATGACCTGTACAAACTTGCACTGCCTTTAGCCCCCAGAGAAAAGACTTGCCATCCTGATAGTCAGTGACAGCTGCAGTCTGACAAGTGGCAGAAACATGAAAACAGCTGCAAGCCATGCCCAAGCCTGCACTCACCACATCCTGCTGATAGGAGGGAGCTGGTGCTGGCCCTCCTGTCCCTCTCCTCTCACGGGGCTGGCAGTAGCTTGTGGTGACTGCAGGAATTCAGAAAGTCCCTTAGCTGGGTCAGAAATGTAGCGCTTCTCCTGAGGCCAAAGGCATCTTCACCATCTTCTTTATCCCATGTGTCAGGGGATCTTATGCAATATGGAACCCTGCTCACCCAAACTTACTGCACTCTGCTCTTGGAGGCCTCCCTTTGGAGAATTCCTAACACGACTCTACCTGCCAACCTCCCAGGCTAACCTATCAACCACAATTTCCTCTGTGTAGCCAACCCCACAGAAATGAGCCTCCTCATTTTAAAGGGCTCATACAATTAGAAGTTCTGCTCCATTCCAGCTAAGATTCCAGTGAAAAGAAACATTCTGCTCCTAAATGTTTCAACAACAGCATGTACCAAAGAACAGTATGTTCCCTATATACCCCGAGTGAGTAAGCCCCAACAGGCTCACAGAAAGACCAGATAATTCTCCATGACTTAAGCCAACAAGGGTTACATAGACCAGGAGCTAGAGCATGACAATGGCAGAGGAATAGTTACCAAACCTTGCATTCGCTCGGGGTGGCCAACCCATAGCCAAAAACATGTCAGAACTCCTACACCCCTGCCATATTTGAAAAAGAATATAGTATCAAAAAGTGTTAAAAATGTCTTTGTGGAGTGTCCTTGGGGCGTAGGGGCCGACCGCACGCAGTCGCGCAGCGCTGCCTCCGCCTACCAGTCTCGCCCGCGATCCCGGCCCGGGGCTGTGGCGTCGACTCCGACCCAGGCAGCCAGCAGCCCGCGCGGGAGCCGGACCGCCGCTGGAGGAGCTCGGACGGCAGGCTGAGCCCTCCCGCCGTTCCTTGGCTGAAGCCCGAGTGCGGAGAAGCCCGGGCAAACGCAGGCTAAGGAGACCAAAGCGGCGAAGTCGCGAGACAGCGGACAAGCAGCGGAGAAGGAGGAGGAGGTGAACCCAGAGAGGGGCAGCAAAAGAAGCGGTGGTGATGGGCGTCGTGGCCATGGCGGCGGCTATCGCCAGCTCGCTCATCCGTCAGAAGAGGCAAGCTCGCGAGCGCGAGAAATCCAACGCCTGCAAGTGCAGCCCCAGCAAAGGCAAGACCAGCTGCAACAAAAACAAGTTAAATGTCTTTTCCCGGGTCAAACTCTTCGGCTCCAAGAAGAGGCCCCGAAGAAGACCAGAGCCTCAGCTTAAGGGTATAGTTACCAAGCTATACAGCCGACAAGGCTACCACTTGCAGCTGCAGGCGGATGGAACCATTGATGGCACCAAAGATGAGGATAGCACTTACACTCTGTTTAACCTCATCCCTGTGGGTCTGCGAGTGGTGGCTATCCAAGGAGTTCAAACCAAGCTGTACTTGGCAATGAACAGTGAGGGATCCTTGTACACTTCGGAACTTTTCACACCTGAGTGCAAATTCAAAGAATCAGTGTTTGAAAATTATTATGTGACATATTCATCAATGATATACCGTCAGCAGCAGTCAGGCCGAGGGTGGTATCTGGGTCTGAACAAAGAAGGAGAGATCATGAAAGGCAACCATGTGAAGAAGAACAAGCCTGCAGCTCATTTTCTGCCCAAACCACTAAAAGTGGCCATGTACAAGGAGCCATCACTGCACGACCTCACGGAGTTCTCCCGATCTGGAAGCGGGACCCCAACCAAGAGCAGAAGTGTCTCTGGCGTGCTGAACGGAGGCAAATCCATGAGCCAAAATGAATCAACGTAGCCAGTGAGGGCAAAAGAAGGGCTCTGTAACAGAACCTTACCTCCAGGTGCTGTTGAATTCTTCTAGCAGTCCTTCGCCCAAAAGTTCAAATTTGTCAGTGACATTTACCAAACAAACAGGCAGAGTTCACTATTCTATCTGCCATTAGACCTTCTTATCATCCATACTAAAGCCCCATTATTTAGATTGAGCTTGTGCAAAAGAATGCCAAGCATTTCAGTGAACTAAATCTGGGAGAAGGACTGCCAAATTTTCTCATGATCTCACCTGTACTTTGGGGATGATAATCCAAAAAGATTTTACAGCACTAATGCTGATCAAAATTTGCTCTCCCACCAAGAAAATTTCAAAGACCACAATTGTTCTTCAAAAACAAACAAAACAAAACATAACAAAATTAACTGCTTAAATGTTTTGTCTGGGCAAACAAAATTATGTGAATTGTGTTGTTTTCTTGGCTTTATGTTTTCTATCTACACTTGATTCACATGTACTCTTTTCTTTGGCATAGTGCAACTTTATGATTTCTGAAATTCAATGGTTCTATTGACTTTTTGCATCACTTAATCCAAATCAACCAAATTCAGGGTTGAATCTGAATTGCCTTCTCAGGCTCAAGGTAACAGTGTTCTTGTGATTTTACCAAATTTTTTTTCTTTTTTTTTTTTTTTAGATTTGTAGTATTCTGGTCAAGTTATCGTGCTGTACTTTGTGTGTAGAAATTGAGTTGTATTGTCAACCCCAGTCAGTAAAGATATCTTCAAAAAATTATCCTCAAGTGTAGATTTCTCTTAATTCCATTTGTGTATCATGTGAAACTATTGTTGTGGCTTCTTGTGTAAAGACGGGAACTGTGGAACTGTGATGTTGTCTTTTGTGTTGTTAAAACAAGAAATGTCTTACCTGTATATGTATGAGTCCTCCTGTCATTGTATTTGGCATATGAATATTGTGTGCAAGGAATTGTTAAGACTGGTTTTCCCTCAACAACATATATTATACTTGCTACTGGAAAAGTGTTTAAGACTTAGCTAGGTTTCCATTTAGATCTTCATATCTGTTGCATGGAAGAAAGTTGGGTTCTTGGCATAGAGTTGCATGATATGTAAGATTTGTGCATTAATAGTTGTTAAAAATCTGTGTTCCAAAAGTGGACATAGCATGTACAGGCAGTTTTCTGTCCTGTGCACAAAAAGTTTAAATAAGTTGTTTAATATTTGTTGTTGTATACCCAAATACGCACCGAATAAACTCTTTATATTCATTTTAAAAAAAATGTCTTTGTGGCAAATATAAATTATTTCTTCAATATCCAGCTCTCCTTATTAACAGAACCCCGATTTTCTTCAGGGACTAGTATGCCAAGCTTCAAATAGTCCAATTTTCCAGCTTTCCAAGCTAGTGCTAAAGTTCTATAGAAATCCCCAGATATGGCATCCTTTAGTGAATAGAAAGGAAAAGACCTGCTGGACAAACACTGTTTGCCCCTTCACCTTTTCCTTTTTTTCCCTCCTTCTTGTCTCAGATAGGGACCCAAGAAGTACAGCAGCCCTTTAGCAACCATTAGGTAGAAACGTGAGGATGAAGGCCTGTACCTTAAGGACAGTGGAGCAGAAAGGCACAAAGAGCCTGGGCCCACAGGAGCATCAACGAGCTGGAGTAGCAGCCCTATGCTGAGAACCCTCATGCTGATGGCAGGAGACACACACCGGCCTGTTGAAATCCCTCAAGCAGGGTTTTCCATTATTTCAAATGGAATGAAATTTTGATTCATGAAGCTAGTTGTTAATGTATCAAAATCTCCCCCAGGACAATTTGTTCTGCTTAAAGGCCATGGCCACAGAACTCATGACAACAGAATCCAAAGGATTTAAACAACTGGGGCTACCAGTTTTAACCCTCAAAGTTCAAAAATACCCCAAACAGCCTGACTCTCTAACTCAACAGCCTTCCTCACTACCCAAAGATTTACTGAACACTTACTATGTCAGGCACTGTGTTGGAAGAAGATAAACATGAACCTGACTATTGAGCAAACAAGTAAGGGCTTTAACCAAGGCATGAACAGAGTTATGGGGTTCTGTAGAGGTGACTGGGTGCTCTGGGCATCCTGGGGCAGAGGGTACATAGGAAGGAAGGGTGGAAGCAAAAGAAAAGGCTGGGAAAATAGAGCAGCAGAGATGGCGGGGGCAGGGAGTGGGCATTCGCTATTTTAACTTTGTATTATTAATGGAAAAACCAAGGTTTCTACATAAAAGATGTGTATATTTGCTTTATGTTTTGTTCTAGAATCAGAATTATTACTAATGAGGGTGGGGCAGGCTAGCTTTCTGCTAATTTCCTTTCTGGAAATTAATAGGTAATTGTGATGAATTCCTAATGTTGAGAGACAGTTCTTGATGAGTGTCTTGTGTTTCTATACCTCTGTGAAAGACAGCTTCAGCTTTTGTCTTTTTAACTACCTTTTCAAGGATGTTTACATACCAAGTAGCCTTGTAAGATAGAGACAGTGTCTCCCTGGGACAGGCATTTATGTTTACTGTACAGAAATAAAGATAAGGTCTCCCTCGGGGGCAAAGGTTGGTCAGGATCGCTTGCAGGCCCCTTTATGAGACTGGGGTTTCCTAAACTCAGAGTTCCTTTGCTGGGTCATAAACCTGCTGTGTGTGTAGTATCCATCTGGGTCACTATTCCCTGTGGGACTTGGGAAGCAAGAGAAACTACTGCAAATATGAGATTCATTTTACCAGAGGTGCATGCATAATAAAGTCCTTTTGGTCTGACCCAGGAGTCTCAGGCCTTCTCTCAGCATCTATGTACCTGTGACAGGCTAACTTGTTAGCTTGCAAGGAGGGTAAAATCTCAAACACTTCACAATTTTTGATGCTTAAACTAAGATTTTTAGAGAGGAATGGTCTGGGATACTTTTATGGGGCTAGAGATTGGAAAAGAAGATAATTCTGAAGTATCTGAGTTGGGTGACTGGGCAGAAGACTGGGCAGAAGATGGTGGTGGTGTTAAAAGGAGGAACACAGAAAGGAAAGCGGGTTCCTGTAAAATGAGTTGGCTTTGACACATTTGGTTGGAGATGCCTAGAGGATCTTGAGGACGAGATAGGCAGGTGGGCAGGTTCTTATTCCAGCTGAACCATGAGTACAAGGGATGCTCCATAAACAAACTGAGCCCCCCAGGCCTCAGTGCTCCCCTTGGCACTTCCTAAACTCACACATCATTGTGTTGTCTCAGGGTCCCCAGAGCACACCAACAACAGATCCACTTTTTTTAAAAAGTATGCTTAAATCAGTCAGACATGGTGGTGTGCACCTGTAGTCACAGCTATGTGAAAGGTTGAGGTGGTCGGATTGCTTGAGCCTGAAAGGTAGAGGTTGCAGTGAGCTGTGATTATGCCACTGCACTCCAGACTGGGTGACAGAGCAAGACCTTGTCTTAAAAAAAAAACAAGGCGTGCTTTTCCCAACACTTAGGGAATCAAATTCCCGGAGCTGGAGCCTGGGCATCTGAATTTTTTTAAAGCTCCAAAGGTGATTCTGATCTGCAGCCAGAGTAGAAAAACGCCAACTATTAGAACCAAGGGCAATGACACTTTCCCTAAAGTCCTCAGAGTGTGGCCTGGCCAACAAGAGTCCTCACCTTGTTTGGTCAAGTAGGTGGCCGTTTCCTGAATTGGTAGCCCAGGATTTCTGTTCGACCTCCATCTTTTCTGAGGCCACTGAGTTCTGACTCAGGGACCAATTATCACTTGCCAAGTAAAGCACTGTACTTAAAGAGATCAGATACCCTGAGCCAGCCAGCTCCTAGATGTTGCTCTAAAGTAGACATTATCCCCCAGAATGGTTCAGAGATTTTTCTGCTCCCCTAAACTTTCTGGAATCCTGCCTGACACATCCTCTGGATTAATCATCAGGATACCCTCATGCCCAGCATATGGGGCATAGCCCCAGATACAACCATTCCCTACCCCCATCATCCTTATGAAAAACCGTGTTCTCTCAGACTTCTGAAGTCTTTTGCCGATAGTTTGAGACTTTGAGCTTTTAGAGAAGGCAGAGGGGATGGTTGTGTGCTTGGTTAGCTCATGGCCTTTCTCCTTAGCTTTCCGCGTGCCCATGTGTACCTCATAGCCCTTCCATGTGCTGGCATGACTTCTTCCTGTCTTGGAAAGGCTTTTTTCTCTATATGATCATGTCATCAGCAAACAGCAACAGTGTGGCTTCCTCTTTACCAATTTGGATGCCGTTTATTTCTTTCTCTTGCCTAATTGCTCTGGCTAGGATTTCTAGCACTATGTTGAATAGAAGTACTGAAAGTAGGCATCCTTGTCTTGTTCCAGTTCTCAGGAAGAATACTTTTAACTTTTTCCCATTCAGTATAATGTTGACTGTGGGTTTGTCATGGATGGCTTTTATTATCTTAAGGTATTTCCCTTCCATGCCAATTTTGCTGAGGGTTGTAATCATAAAGCAAGGCTGGATTTTGTCAAATGCTTTTTCTGCATCTATTGAGATGATCATGTGATTTTTGTTTTTAATTCTGTTTATGTGGTGTATCACACTTTCTGATTTGCACATGTTAAGTATGCAGGGATGCAGAACACATCCCTGGTATGAAAAGCACTTGATCATGCTGGATTATCCTTCTGATATGCTGTTGAATTTGGTTAGCTAGTATTTTCTTGAGGACTTTTGTATCTACATTTATCAGGGATATTGGTCTGTAGTTTCCTTTTTTGTTATGTCCTTTCCTGGTTTTGCTATTGGGTTGATACTGGCTTCATAGAATGACCTAGGGAGGATTCCCTGTTTCTCCATCTTTTGAAATAGTGTCAATAGAATTGGTACCAAATCAATCTTTGAATGTCTGATAGAATTCAGCTATGAACCTGTCTGGTCCTGGACTTTTTTTTTCTTGGTAACTTTTTTTACCATTTCAATATCACTGCTTGTAATTGGTCTGTTCAGAGTTTTTATTTCTTCCTGGTTTAATCTAGGTAGGTTGTATATTTCCAGAAATTTACCTGTCTCCTCTAGGTTTTCTAGTTTATGTGCATAAAGGTGTTCTTGGTAGCCTTGAATGTTTCTTTTGTATTTCTGTGGTGTGGATTATAGTATCTCCTGTTTCATTTCTAAGTGAGCTTATTTGGATCTTCTCTCTTCTTTTCATGGTTAATATCACTAATGGGCTATCAACTTCATTCATCTTTTCAAAGAATCAGCTTTTTGTTTCATTTACCTTTTGTATTTTTTTTGTTTCACTTTCATTTAGTTCCGGCTCTTTGTTATTTCCTTTCTTCTGCTGAGTTGGGGTTTGGTTTGTTCTTGTTTCTCTAGCTCCTTGAGGTGAGACCTTGGATTTTCTATTTGTGCTCTTTCAGATTTTTTGATATAAGCATTTAATGCTATGAACTTTCCTCTTATCACCCACCACCTCTGCTGTATCCCAGAGATTTTGATAGGTTATGTCACTATTATCACTGAGTTCAAAGAACTTTTTTTTTTGGTTTTTTGAGACAGAGTCTCACTCTGTTGCCCAGGCTGGAGTGCAGTGGCATGATCTTACAAGCTCCACCTCCCAGGTTCACGCCATTCTCCTGCCTCAGCCTCCTGAGTAGCTGGGACTACAGGCACCAACCACCACACCCGGCTAATGTTTTGTATTTTGTACAGACAGGGTTTCACCGTGTTAGCCAGGATGGTTTCGATCTCCTGACCTTGTGATCTGCCTGCCTCAGCCTCCCAAAGTGCTGGGATTACAGGCGTGAGCCATCGCACCTAGCCGAGTTCAAATAACTTTTAAATTTCCATCTTGATTTAATTGTTGACCCAATGGTCGTTCAGGAGCAGGTTATTTAATTTCCATGTATTTGCATGGTTTTGAGGGTTCCTTTTGGAGTTGATTTCCAATTTTATTCTACTGTGGTCTGAGAGAGTACTTGTCATAATTCTGATTTTCTTAAATTTGTTGAGACTTGTTTATTGGCCTGTCATATGGTCTATCTTGGAGAATGTTCCATGTGCTGATGAACAGAATGTATATTCTGCAGTTGTTGTGTAGAATGTTCTGTAAATATCTGTTAAGTTCATTTATTCTAGGGTATAGTTTAAGTCCATTGTTTCTTTGTTGACTTTCTTTCTTGATGACCTGTCCAGTGTTGTCAGTGGAGTACTGAAGTCCCCCAGTATTATTGTGCTGCTGTCTATCTCATTTCTTAGGTCTAGTAAGAATTGTTTTCTAAATCTGGGAGCTCC